CAGGCTAACTACATTCTAGCCAGGAAACCTTGAGTGAGCAACATTTTCTAGCTCTTTTATTGCTAATTCAGTATAAAATTATTTCATTTTTCCATGTTTCACATTTAATACAAGCATCAAATATTCATCATGCTTGTGTGCCATTGAGTCGATTCTGACTCAGAGTGACCCTGTAAGATAGAGTAGAGCTGTCCCATAGTTTCCCAGGCTGTAATCTTTACAGAAGCAGATCACCAGGTCTTGTTCCCCATGGAGTGGCTAGTGGGTTCGAACCTCCGACCTTTTGGTTACAACCTAGTGCTTAATTATTATGCCATCATGACTCCTTTTCAGTGCCCTACTATTTGCAAAAGGATTCTATTTGAAAAATAAGGATGAAAATGTTAACAAGTTATCAGGAGAGTCTGAAAACTTATGAGCATAATGATCTCAAAGTCAGTAAATGATCAATACCCACATGCAAAAGTCAGTGTCCGTGGTTGACTTTACTCATCATTACGGGTATTAGAAAGATTAGTAGATCAAGTATGAGACTTGAAACCCAGTCTCCTTGAAACCAAAGATACATATACCTGCACAGTGGACTGAAGTCCTCCATTTATCTTTCTAGTGAAAAGCCATTAAGCATCTGAGAGTGTCCTCATGCCCAGCTCAGCAGTAATGGTTTCAAATTAGATCCCAAAACATCTGGCCAATTTTTTGTGAATCAATGGTACCTGTGTTTACAACCCTCTCCCTCTAAAAAATATTCAGATAATTTGAATGGGTCACTTAGGGTGAGGAATTGATATAAAAGGTGGTGCTTTTGTAAACACTTCTTCCATATTTTAAATTAAATTATTTGTTCAGGAATATAAAGCTCAATTATGTACATTCTTGTTTAATCATAAATTAATTATGCTTGGAGAACCCAACAGTCACTCAAGTGGGAGAAAGATGTGGCAGTCTGTTTCCATAAAGATTTACAGCTTTGAAACCCTATGGACAGTTCTACTCTGTCTTATAGGGTTGCTATGAGTCAGAATCGACTTGATGGCAATGGGTTGGGTTTGGTTTTTGTATATTACATTGACTGGTCTACCATTTTTTAGACAGTAATTGTACATTTACTAATTGGACTAGCTTTCAAATATAATTTTGGTTAAAGATAGAGTTAAGGTTGACTGAAATTTAATAAATTGAGTATCTTTCATTTTTTACAAGTTTATGAGAAGCAGGAAAGCATTCCAAAGAAAGCGTTTCTCAACATTACAGAGGCAGCAAGGCTAACATAACTGAACCCACTGTGACACTCTATTAATTACTAACTGGACTTGATTCTGAACTTCTACTTCTATCCTATGCCTCTGTCCTTGTAACTAACCTCTGTTTCTCAGTCCCTGTTCTTGTCCTTGTCACAGACCTAGAGAACTCCCAAGCATCTCAGTTCTTTCAGCTGGACTTTTGCCTTATTTCCTATTCTTACAACTGCCCAAGGACTCTGGGTGTCTCCTTTCTCTTTCCAGCCCCCTCCCAAAGGCTGGCTCCCTGCCCTGACTCCAAGCATGGTGGGAAGGGGGCCCTTCTTTTAGGGGACACAGCTCCCTGATGCAGACTGCCCAGAATCCTCAGCTTTCCCAGAACTCCTCTCGACCCATGTGTTAGGACAGCCCACCTCTTGGTCTGGAGTCTGACAAGGCCCAGAGACAGCTGAACTCCCAGGCTTCATGCCGAGTTGGTGAGACCTCCCAGCTGGATCCATCCTTCCCCTGACTCCCAGCCAAACCTCCTTTCTCAGTTCCCCTACACTGATATCTAGTTCCAGAGTCTGCATCCAGGGCTCAGACCTCTTTGCCTGTACTATCCGGGGGCTTGTAATTCTCCATACCCCAACAAATTCTGGGATAGGAGACATGCTGAACCACAGTATGGAGGTGATGGTGCAGCTCTGGGAAGTGGGCTAGAAGTGGAGATGGAAATCAAGTGACCCCAGCCATGGAAGGAGTCCTTTAAAGGCAGGAGATTGGTCTTGGTACATGTTTCATTATAGGCTTCAACCTGGTGAGACAGCACCACGAACTATTTTAGTGCAACTGCTTTCCTCCTTCCCATAACTCCTGCCATGGGTTTGTCTGCATCATACAGTGGGCCTTCAGTCATAAAAACCTTGCACTATGGCCAGACTGTTTGATGTGGATCTGGCTTGTGTCACCCACCAACTTCCACTACAAGTGATTGGAAAGCTGAGGCCAAGTTCTGATTTTTTTTATGTACCTTTAAGCTTAGCTCAGTGGAGTCCTGGATAGTGCAAGATTAACACACTCAGCTGAAAGGTTTGGAGGTTCAAGTCCACCCAGAGGCATCTTGAAAGAAGACCTGGTGATTTACTTCTAAAAATCAGTCACTGAAAACCCTGTGGAGCACAGTTCTACACTGACACACATGGGGTTGCCATGAGTTGAAATCTACTTGATGGCAACTTGTATATGCTCAATAAATACCTAACCAATTTAAAGTCTTCAAAGTTTTTGCAAGAACTTAGCACCAGGCAATGTGCTAAGTAGTATATATAAATAATCTCATTTAGTTATTGAGATAATGCTGTGAAGTAGGCACTACTATTAACCCTTATTGCAGTGAAGGAAATTGAGTTTAAATAACTTGTCCATGATGATCCAGCACAGCTGGGATTTGAACTGAGGCAGCTTCTTGGCAGCACATTGCCTGTGCCTTTGAAGGGGAATACTTACTCATCAGCCCAGCAACCATACCTCCCTAGTCCTTACTACTACAAATTATAAAGGCTGCTACTTTATAATTCAGAAGATTAATAAGGGAAGGAAAACAAGAAATAGAGCAATTCATTCATCCATTCACTTACTTGCTCAATAACCTAATATTGAAAATCAACCATATGCCAGGTATGCATCCAGCATGGAGATCTAAAATATTCTGGTTTGGCTGTTATCTTTGCATGTATCTCTCTTCCTGCTGGAACTCCTTATCTCAATCTTCTTTGCCTGGCAAATGATGACTTAGCCTTCCAGACTCAGACAAGTTATCTTCTCCTCCAAGAAAGTCCTTGCCTTATTCACTTCTGTTGGCCCATGGTACGACATCCATAAATGCACATTTTTGTAATGTGCTCCCTTTTTTATTAATTAAAGTCCTATTTTCTCATTAATGTATGTTTCAGAGATGTCTTAAACAAGTAAATAAAAATAAAAAGACTGCCATTGAGTCGATTCTGACTCATTAGGTTTCCAAGATGGTAAATCTTTACGGAAGCAAATTGTCACATCTTCCTTCTGTGGAGCAGCTGATAGGTTTGAACCACCAACCTTCTGGTGAGCAGTCAAGTGCCTTAAGCACTGCGGCACCACAGCTCCTTAGAGATGTCTTACTTACTCTAAATTCCTATTAAACTTCACCCTTTAAAAATGCTGTAGTTTAAAAGAATGAAGAAAATCAAACACACATGGAAGCAATTAGTCTAAGGGATTGGTATACCATGCGATCCTCAGCCTATACGACTATAAGACCAGAAGAACTATATGGTGTCTGGCTACCACTGTCAACCACTCAGAGGGGGATCTATGTAGGAGATCCTGGATAGAGTGGGAGAACAATGTGGAACAAAATTCAAATTATCAAAAAAAAAAAAAAAAAGGGGGACCAGGTTTGCTGGTCTGATACAGCCTGGTGGAACCCCTGATACTGTGGCCCTTAGTTGCCCTTCAGGTCTGGAATTGAACCCACTCCTGTGGCTTCCAGACAAACAAAAGACAGGCATATGAGCTGAACATTTACATCTGGTAGATACACCCCTTGGAGAGATTGATCATGGGAGAATAGAAGGGCTGTGTATGTTCAGGAAGACAGCTTGGGGTGCAGGAGTGCAGGGGAGGGAAGGATATAGGGAAGAGTTAACTATGGGGAGGAAGTGGGAAGAAAGCTACTGCATTGTGGGAAATTTCAGTCAATGTCATGAGACAAAGCACATGTGAACTGCTGTATGGAAAATGAATTTGCCCTGTAAATTTCACTCAAATCACAATAAAAACAAAATTAATTAAATAAATAAATAACCCACAAATGCTTGGGCTTAATACTTTATAAACAAGCTTCTTTCAAATGAACCTTAATAATCTATACATGATCTCTTAAGTACTATGACTTTTATGAAGTATTTAAAAGAATGCTTTGGAATCCTTTTGCAAAACTAGTGATCACCTTTACTTTAGAGATGTTTATGTTCCAATACAGGGAGCTCAAACTGATTTTGAATTTTATGTGTACAGTAAAAAATCAAATGAACTAAATAGTCCAATAATAATAATAATAATAACTGCCTCCATCTACCCTACTCCAGAAGCAAACACATTCAACCCTCCCAACTCAGTGATTTTCCTGTGCCTGTGTGCAGTTGGAGCTGAAGTCCACAAACCACAATACTTCATGAAAATATTTCTTAAACCCTGTTAAAGTTGATCAGTACAGCTGGCTAAGTCAACATGAAGTAAGGTGGTCAAGTTGCAAGCGCACTCAATAGATGCTAGAGTATCCCACCTATGGTTCCAGATATAAGGCACCTTCATCAACTTCCTTGAAGGGTGATTTTGAGACCATAGACATTGTCTTACAGTCTCAAGACAAATTAAGAAAGACCTGACAAAGGAGGAATAGAGGTAGAAGTTATTCAACCTCTACCACATAATCATATGTTAATCTATGCTTAGTTCTTGGGTGGTGCAAATGATTAAGCAACTGGCTGCTAACTGAAAGGTTGGAAGTTCAAATCCACTGACAGGCGTATTGGAAGGAAGACCTGGTGATCTACTTCCAAAAGATCATAGCCATGGAAAACCCTCGAGAGCACAGTTCCACTCTGATGCACATGGGGCCACCATGAGTCAGGCGGGCTTGATGGCAACTGGTTCCTAATCTATGCTTGGGAGACTTCCATAGCCACAGTCCCCAGATTAATAACATAACTTTTTTTTTTTTTTTGCATCACTTACTCATGCATGTTTTTCCATCTGGGTTAAGAGCAAATCCTTCACGGCACTTGCAAATATAGGAGTTATCAGCATTTACACACTTGTGTTCACATCCATGGTTTTCCAAGGCACAATAGTCCACAGCTGTAGAGAGTAAGACATATTCAAAGTTGAATTAGAAATGTAAACAGAGGTAAAAGGAATGGTAGAGTGGCAGCATATTTACAACAAATATAAATATGGATTCATTTTATTGCCCAATGACAAGTATGGATAAATAAATAGGAATACAAAGCCTCCTCTTTCATAGAAAAAAAAAAGGAGTCCAGATCAGCCAATTTATATCAGAAGGTAAACTAAAGGACATATGAACAACTGTATTTAAAAATTCAATGCAAATCAAAACTATGCAAGGTACCCTTCACCTATTAAACTGGCAAAAAAAAAAAAGGATAAATCACAGTGCTGGCATGACAGCCTGGAAACAGAGTTATTAACAGTGGGTGGCATTACAACTTTAGGGAGGCAACTTAACAATGTTCATCTTTGAAATATAACCCAAAGAAATAACCAAAAGAAATAATTGTACACAATAAGGTATTTATAGTAGCATTATAGTTATGTACAGTGACAAAAATAAGAAATCTAGAAAATGAGATGAACATTTACTAATAGGGAAAGGCAGCCAGGGTGGTTGGAGTAGGGAGCAAGAGAGGTGGGTGTGAAGAGTGGGTGTAGATTAGGAGGTGACCCATGGCCCACTGAAAGGACTTTGGTTTTCATTCTGAGTAAGCTAGGAGTCATTAGAGGGTTCTGAAGAGAAGAGACTATAAAGGGCAAGGTGAGAGCGGAAGACCAGGTAGGCGGGTGGCTGCTACAGAAATCCTGGTGAGGAATGGTGGAGGTTTAAAGTAGGACAGTAGTTGGGAGGTCAGGGGGGTCACAAGAGGTACTCTGGGTGTATGTTGAAGGTGGGACCAGTAGGATTCCTATTGGATTAGCTAGAGGTAATTAGAGACTAGAGAAAAAGAGAATTAAGACGGATTATAGGAACTTGGTCCTGAGCAACAAGAAGAATACCAAAAACCAAACTTGGTGCTGTCGAGTTGAATCCAACAACTCAACAACAAACTTGTTGAGAGTTGAGCCATGAGGGTGAGTTCCATTCCAGGCTTGAAGGGTGTCTAAGAGCCATAGTCTCAGGGCTTCCACCAGTCTCTATCAGACCAGTAAGTCTGGCCGTTTTTATGATTTTTGAATTTTGTTCCATATTTTTCTCCCACTCTATCCAGGACCTTCTATTGTGATCCCACTCAGAGCGGTTGGTAGTGGTACCCAGGCACCATCTAGTTCTGTTCTCGGGGTAGTGGAAACTGAGCTTCACATGGTCCATTAGTCCTTTAGACTAATTTTTTCCTCGCATCTTTGATTTTCTTCACTCTTCTTTGCTCTAGAAGAGGAGAGACCAATCGTTGCACCTTAGATGACCACTCGCAAGCAGTCACTACTCACCAAAGTAGAATGGAGACAGTTGTCTTTATGGATCATGTTATGCCAATTGACCTAGATGTCCTCCGAGAGTGTGGTTCTGAGTCCTCAGGCCCAGTGACTCATTCCCTCAGGATGTTTGGTTACAGCTAAGAAGTTTTCATAACTTTGCTCCTTGTATGTGCTACTATTTTCATGGATATATTTGCAGCACATATAAATACATATGTAGACATATCCTCTGATATATACTCTTGCGTATAGTCACATTTGCCTTCCCCTACCTGCTCAGCTTGCATGTCTATGTATCTACTGGTGGATTACTGATATTACTGTTATTGCAGGATTGTATTGTAATAGTATTCACCTTTGTTGCCTTTATCACTTGTGCACCTCCCCTAACAAAAACTTTTAAATAATAATAACAGGGAAATGGGATCTGTAAAATTAACATATGTGTACAATTGAAAAACAAAACCATGCATGGGGGAAATAATTGTGTACTTAATATAGCCATCAGAGGATGCAAAGGGATAAGCGAAAGATCTTTGAAAGGCAGTAACCTGTGTCAGGTTTATACTTTTATGCCCGGGTTTTGTTAGGTTTTCATCTAAATTATCATTTTTACAACTTCATCTCCCTATAGTGTTTTGATACCCCCTAATAATTGTGGGTGTAATAACCAAATCATTATGGTGGGAACAGGGTGTTCATATAGCCTCAGAGTCTCAATGGACTCTTACTTCATCATGGAATATTAGTCAGTTGCTGGGATTTAGTTACAACATAAATATTGAGCTAGCACCAAATCCTTCTAAAAGCTAATTTCTCATCTTTCAAAGACCAACGGATCATTTAAAAAAAAATAATTATGACACTGGGATCAAAGCCTTGGCACATATCCTAGTCTGAGTGTCACAGGAGTTGGCCGTGCTGTGGTCCACACGGGCTTGTATGAGCAGTTGACTCTTCCCACCTCAACTCCCTCACCATTTGCCATCTTGAAAATCTCTCAGTGTCTAATGTTAGTATTTGCCTATCTATTCTTTATCCTTTCAATCAACCAGGCCTACCTCTGGTCACCTACCTTTTTGTGTCTCCTCCAAATAGAGGAGTCACTAATTTGATTTCACAACGATGAGCTGGCAGTTCACTGTACCAAAAAGGCAAAAACCCAGAGTACTGCTTTCTCTTTCTTATCATGCAGTATCATCTCTGAGCCCTGCCACCTCTGTCCCTCAGAGGATCCCTGAGGATGCTGACCCTAAAATTTATACTGGGAAGAGGTTGGAGGTTTTGCTTAGGTCTCAAGTGTAAGCCGCATACTCCAAACTAGTCTTTCCAGAATGTTTGAGAACAGAGTTTCCAATGTTGGCTCAGGTGTTTAAGAAGCGGTATAGCAGAAGCTCTTTTAACTGACCTCTACTGAACTCTAAGGCACTTGACTGCTAACCAGAGGGCTGGCAGTTCAAACCCACCAGCTACTCCTTGGAAGGAAGATGGTGCAACCTACTTACACAGTGATACTGCCTTGAAAACCCAAGGAGGGGTTGCTATATGAGTCGGATCTGACTTGAAAGCAGTGCATTTGGTTTTGGTCTTGGCTAATTAACCAGCTCCTGGTTGATCAATGCTTTTCATTTATCAGAAAATTGGGGCTATTGCCCAGGGCCCGCTAAATGCTCAGGTTGGTGGAACACTCGTGCTCTAGAACACCTGTGACCTTCTCCCATTGACTAAGTTGTATGGTTATTTGTTCTCAAAGTGAAGTCTTGAACTGCTCCTTCAACTTCACTTGAGAACTTGTTATAAATGCAAATTCTTGGACCCTACCACTGACCTAAGGAGCCCTGGTGGCACAGTGATTAAGCCCCTAGCTACAAACTGAAAGGTTGTAAAGATTATACTAAAGATTACAGCCTTAGAAACCCTATGGGACAGTTGTACTCTGTCCTATAGGGTCACTATGAGTCAGAATCAAACTCAATGGCAATGAATACCTCTGATCCACTGATTCGGAAACTCTGGGTGTGGGGTCCAGGAATCTGTGTTTTAACAATTTCTCTAGGTAATTGAGATGTATGCTAAAATTTGAGAATCGCTGTTATAAAGAGTCAAAGTAGCTTTTGTTTCCAAACCTACATATGACTTTTATGCATGTTACTGTAAATAATATAATTCAATATTATGAAAAACAATAAAATATAAGTACCAAAAGAAATTGTAGTTTTTTTTTTTTTTTTTTTTTTTTAATAACAACTGAGTTGAATGTTTTAAAAAGACTCTGTGGCCGTTTGTCAGCCAAAACTGTTGTAGAATCAGTCATGGGTGAAAGAAGTGTAAACGATTGGGGGAAAAACTCATAAAAGTTTACGAGCACTCTGCCCTTAGATTGTTTTACAGAAGTCTTCAATTTTTTGCACCTATTTAAAGGGTTCAAAACTGAAAAATCATAGACAACACATTATAGGTATGGTTTATGCAAGAAAGATTTTAAAAATCATACTTTTTTCTCAAATGAACATAAAATTACTAATTTTTACTAAATGCACACTAACGTGTTTTAAATAAAAACAAAATGGATAGGATGGGTTTAGAGATGTTGTTTTTTACGATTCTCCTCTTTAAATGACTTTTTCCGCCAATCAACCAACTGCAGGCCCAATCTCATTGGAAAAGCTGGCTTCTCAAGACTTTGATTCTCATTTTGCTTTTGTTCTTTGTGTGCATAGCTCTCCGGGGAACTGAGCAGCAGAGGGGTGATGGAAAACGAAGGGTCCAGGAATTTCTGGGTCCTGAGAACCTGGCCTTTAAAACTAAAAGGTGACAAATCCTACCTTGAATTGAGAACTGCCCCCAGGTGAGCTACCAGGCCACTGGAAACAGCAGAATAAGCCCACAGTGCCTGGGGGAGACTGTTTCCAGGTACCTAAAAGCTTTTTGAGGTGGAGTAGCTAGTCCACTGGGGTCCCTGGTGCAATGGTTAATGTGCTCAGTTGTTAACCAGAAGGTTGGCAGTTCAAGTCCACCCAGAGGTCCCTCAGAAGAAAGTCCTGGTGATCCTCCTTCTGAAAAACCACCCACTGGAAACCCTACAGAACTCAGTTCTACTCTGACACACATGGGGCCACCCAGAGTCAGAGTTAACTCAATGGCAAGTAGCAAGCTAGTTCCTTCAACTCTGACATCCTTTGCTGCATGTTTTGAGTTCTCAGCATAACTTCTTTGGTTGCAAAATTATACTTATAAAAAGGGAGGTTAGGGGGCAGATGTATGGAGATCTATGTGAGTTATTCAGCAAAGCCTCTATTGTTTCAAGGTCTCAGCTACTTCCACAAAATCCATTCTCTGAAGCTTTTGCCTGAAATTTCTACACTCTCCTTTACAATATCTAGTCATTTCCTAGGCATTGTTCTTCATCTCTCCTGATGACAGGGTGCTCAGATCTCAGAGTCTGAAGCCAGTCTTGCCACATTTAGTCTCTGCCCAACTTGTGAGAAATCACTTTAGCTGTCTCTCAGGATAAATGCTGCTTTGGTGCAAGAAAATAAAAACCTGTGACTGACAGTTTCTGATTTATAATCTGGTCACAGTCCAAGAGTTTCTCAGCAGGGACCCATCTGCAAGGAATAGCATTAGCAAAAACAGAATATTTTAAAAAAGAATGTTTCCATTTTAAAGTTTGTTGATGATGAAGTAAGAAAAATCAAATTTGTAGTTTAGATAAATAGCAGAATCGATTTACTTGCTGAGCACATATTCTCATAAAACCCATTGCCATCAAGTCAATTCCAGCTCATAGCGATCCTTTAGGGCAGTGTAGAACTGCCCCATAGTGTTTCCAAGGTGGAGTAGCTGGTGAGTTCGAACTGCCAACCATTCGGTTAGCAGCCAAGCACTTGACCACTGTGCTATCAGGGCTTCTTAAACACATATTAGACACAAACAAAGTCAGACTCACAAAACCCCTCCCTCACAAGGTGTGATTGGATTCCATAGCAGGATTTAAAAGCCCAGAGGAAGGGTTTCCTATTGATCTTGATAACAATAGGGGAGAAATCCAATACTTAATATCTGGGGAAAATCATGTTTCAAATAAGAGGAGTTGGCTGATGAATTAAAAACCTGAATTTTCAATATAAAAATCGATCCTCTCATCCCCCGTGCCCAACTTAAATATCAACAGTCCCCTTCTCGCTGAGAGTAATCTATGCAGGAGAATATGGGAATAAATTCTGAAGACAGCAGTAATAGCTGTTAAATCCTCATGTTATGTACCACTATCATTCTGGGTATAGACCACAATATGATTTTTAAAATATACTACGCATATGACTTATGAACAAATAGAAACGTTCATAAAAAGACAAAAGAAATCAAAAAGGATTTAGAAATTCAGTTTAACTAATGTTTATCAGTTGCCTGGTAGCATAGTGCCTAAGGCACTTGACTGCTAACCAGGAGGCTGGCGGTTCAAACCCACCAGCCACTCCTCGGAAGGAAGATTGGACAACCTGCTTCCGTAGTGATACCACATCGGAAACCCAAGGAGGGGTTGCTATGAGTCGGATTCGACTCTAGGGCAGTGAGTGGATATGTATCAGACACGGGATAATGACAATAATATTATTAGCAAACACCTAGCACTACTCTAAGCACTTTATGGAGTCCCTGGGTGATGCAAATAACTAACACAGTTGACTCCTAACTAAAAGGTTGGAGGTTCAAGTCCACCCAGAGGTGCCTGAGAAGAAAGGCCTGGCGATCTACTTCTGAAAAACCAGCCCCTGAAAACCTTATGGGGCACAGTTTTACCTGGAAACCCACGGGATTGCCATGAGTTGGAGTTCAAGTCATGACAACTCTTTTTTTTTTTTTAAAGCACTTTACACATATTGACTCATTTAATCCTCACAAAACTCAGTTCTTTGAGATAGTGTTATGGATTGAATTATGTCCCCTCAAAATATGTGTTGTAGATCCTAACCAGTCTGCCTGTGGTTATAATCCCATTTTGGTAGAGGTTGTCTTTGTTATGTTAATGAGGCAGGATTAGTGTAGGGTGCTTGAGCCAACCTCTTTGGAGATACAAAACGGATTAAGCAAGTAAAGCAGGAACAGGAAGAACCAAGCCAAACCACATGAAGAATGCCCAGGAGTGGAAGCTTAGCAGAGACAAGGACCTCATCCAGGGCCAACAGAGAAAAACCCTTTCCCCTGGAGCTGACACCTAGAGTTCAGACTTCTAGCTTCTTAAATTGTGAGAAAATAAATTTCTATTTGTTAAAGTCACCAACTTGTGGTATTTCTGTGATGGCAGCTCTAGCTAACTAAGACAATAAGTTACACATGGCCCAGAAAGGCAGGACAAACAAGGGAAGTTTTTAGCCTGGAATACCTCCAAGAAGTGGAATAGATGAGACACAACTTTCAGGTTTTGATTTTGTACACGTCTGTACTCTTTCATCTTTTTAAATTTGTTTAAATAAACAAAAGTTGACTTTAATTTAAAAACCAATCAAGGGGAGAAGATTAAAATAACAGGAATGCTTGAGACTGCAATCAATCACTCAACCTCAATGACTCAAGTAAAATGTGTTGTGAGCCTACCCTCTAGAGGAGGAAGAAGTACAAGTGGCCTCTGACCTCCAGTATTTACAATCTGATTGGGCCAGTAAGATGCAAATAAGACCAAACCAAACCAAACTCACTGCCCCTTAAGTCAGATCTGACTCACAGCGACCCCTCCTTGGGTTTCCGAGGCAGTATCACTACGGAAGTAGATTGCCCAACCTTCCTTCCAAGGAGTGGCTGGTGGGTTTGAACCAGTCTTCTAGTTAGCAGTCAAATGCCTTAGGCACTATATCACCAGAGTTACCCAGAAATACAAGGCAGTGGGTAAACACTAGTTGAGCAAGTACAGCAGAAAATTCACCCTCAAAGATATAGATAAATGATCTTAGAAAAATGCAGTTTGGGATGGAAATTGACAGATTTAATGGTAGCTGATGGATTACAAATACCAAAACAAACAAACAAACAAACAAACAAACTCACTGCTGTCGAGTTGGTTCCAACTCATAGTGACCCTTCCTTGGGTTTCCGAGACAGTATCTCTATGGATATCTAGAGATACCGCCTCGGAAACCCAAGGAGGAGTTGCTGTGAGTGAAACTTGACTAGCAGCAGTGAGTTTGGCTTTTTGTTTTTGATCTCTAGGGAAGTAGATTGACCAGTCTTCCTTCCAGGGAGTGGCTAGTGGGTTTGAACTGCTAGCCTTCTGGTTAGCAGTCAAATGCCTTAGGCACTATGCCACCAGAGATACAGGAATTCAATTAAAGTGGAAGGAGGACACTTAGTAGCTAACCCAAACTTGATTACCTGAATGAAGAAATGAACTCGGTACTACAATGAGTGAAATGAACAGTTAGGGAACTAGGACTCTGACACTTGAAATTAAGGCTCCAATAACTCAACTCAAACTCACTGCCATTGAGTCGGATCCAACTCCTAGTGACACTTCCTTGGGTTTCCGAGGTGGTATCACTACGGAAGTAGATTGCCCAACCTTCCTTCTGAGGAGTGGCTGGCATGTTTGAACCATCAGCCTTCTGGTCAGCAATCAAATGCCTTAAACACTACACCACCAGAGCTCCCTCCAACAACTCAAAGGGGTGAAAAGTCTCAAGTCAATGACTAAGAACTGAATTTTCATGCAGGTCACAGTCATAATTCTGGGATAAGTCCATGAAATGGAACCACTGCGATGGTAGTGTTGAAGCTGGAAATTCATCGTATTGAACCACCAGTAGCTGGACATGGTTAATCTTTATCAAACTTCTTTAAATGAGTGGTTTAAACTTGCAGTCCTTGTTTTCCTACCACTCGCTCTCTACTCCTGGAAATATGCCCTTTACTCCATTACTCCTGAACCATTGGTCTCCTGGTCCTCTGTGTTCCTAATACCCAGTGACATAACTGGTAGAAAGTACCGAATGTTTGCTGAGGTGCATCAGTGACTTTTCTCTAAGTTCTGTTCTCTTTGTTCTCTCAGGACCATGACATTAATATGGACCTGGCCTAGAAATTCTCTTCCCCATTAGGACACCTCTGATTTATCCATTATCATCACTAAAGAAATCAATCCCAAATCCACCTCTCCTACCTCTTGCCCCAGGTATGCAACATGGAGTCGCCCAAGTGGTAAGTCATTCAGCTGATTGCAAGTTGGTGTGTGAAGTTCCAAGCACTGCCTTTGAGACTCCTGCATTTAAATCTACTGTTGGTTTTCTCTGACCATGGTGTCTTATTACATGTAACGGGGCTCTTACATCTGGCTGTCAGTTGGAGGTACAGTACTCAGGAGGAAGTCTCATGTCTTTGAAGTGACAGTCTAAACTGCCCACCACCAAGTGAATTTCATGTATAACACAGGAGCTATATTGAAATCAAGCTATCTTAAACATACCCTCCAAATATGATGGAAATCCACCCAGCTCTTTTCAAGTGATGTAACAGACAATTATATTCATGTAGATTATCATAAATATGCTTTTTTGCTGAGAACTCATAATGAGAAAATGCTGACCTCAGCCACACGTAAAGTCACGATCTGACTAACTACTAGGCCAAAGAACTGAGCACTGTGTTGAAACCCAAAGGGAAATAATTTTATACATGGGAGGCATGCGGTGGGCCTCCCTCCCCCTCCTTCCTATGCTTAACTTGTCCTTCCTCACTAAGCGAAGTGGGAGGGAATACTCACCCACACACTTCTTCCCATCGTCAGCCAGCGTGTAGCCACTGTAGCACTGGCAGACGAAGGAGCCTGGCACATTCACACAAAGCTGCTCACAGGCGTGGTCCTCCACCGCACACAGATCCTGGACTGAAGCAAAGGTTGCACATAAGAACACAACTCTGAAGAAGATAGCACCCTCACACAGGGCAGTACAATAAGCAACTCTACAAACCAAATCAAACCCACTGACATTGAGTCAATTCCAACCCACAGCAACCCTACAGGACAGAGGTGAAATGCCCCCACAGGTTTCCAAGGCTGTAAATCTTTACAGAAACAGACTGCCTCATGTTTGCCCTGTGTAGTGGCTAGTGGGTTTGAGCCACCAATCTTGTGGTTAGCAGCCCGATGCTTTAACCACAGCACCACAAAAGCTTCTTAGGGACTCTATAGCACTTATTAAAATAACTCTTAAATTCAAAATAGCCAAAAGGTGGGTGGAAACAACACAAATGCCCATCAAAATAACAAAATATGGTCTATCCATAAGGCAGTCAGGGAGTTCTGGTGGCATAGTGCCTAAGGCACTGGACTGCCTACCAGAGGGCTGGTGGTTCAAACCCACCAGCAACTCCTCGGAAGGAAGATGGGGCAATCTACTTCTGTAGTGATACTGCCTCGGAAACCCAAGGAGGGGTCACTATGAGTCAAGTCCGACTCGATGGCACTTAACAACAACATAAGGCAGTTGCCATTAAGTTAATTCTGACTCATGGTGACCCACCCCATGTGTATCAGCGTAGAATTGTGCTCCATGGTTTTCAATGACTGGCTTTTTTGGAAGAAGATCAACAGGACTTTCTTCCAAGGTGCCTTTGGGTGGACCCAAATCTCCAATCTTCTGGTTAGCGACCAAGTGTACTAATGGTTTGCACCACCCAGGAACTCTATTCATACAATGGAATATTATTTAGCTGTAAAGAGGAATGAAGTTCTGATACATGCTACAAAGTAAACAGACCTTGAGAACATTTTGCAAGTGAAACAATCCAGACACAAGAGAACAAATGTTGCATTATCCCATTTACATGAAATATCTGGAAAGTACATTGGTGGTTGCCAGGAGCTAGGGGAAGGGAGGAATGGAGAATTACTGCTTAAGGGGTACTGATTTTGTTTGGGGTGATGAAAAAATTTTGACATAGTGGTGATGGTTCCACAATACTTTTAATATAATTAATGCCACTGAATTGTACACTTAAAAATGATTAAAATGGCAAATTTTATGTTATATATATTTTACAACAACTTAAAAAAGAAAAATAACTTAAAAACATTGTAAGAATTAATATATGGACAAGGGACTTATCTCTAGAATTTATAGAACACTCCAACACCTCAATAAAAAAAAGACAAACAATCCAATTAAAAAATGGGCAGAAGACATGAA